TACCATTTAGTTTGAAACGAAACGATAGATTGTATAGAAGTAGGATTTAAAGCGGTTACACATGGGGATCATCATAAAATTCCAAAACGAAATTAAAATTACAACTATTAGATAATGTTATGAATTTGGATTTTGTGAAGATTATTAAATCACGTAATGTTCGTCCATCTCATTAGTCGATTAAGTTCAGTTTAAAGTTGACTGTTTTACATTTGAACTTTTAAAAAGTAATCATAAATGAGATTATTATCTGACATTTCAATAATTTAAAGTAACTAATCTGTCTTGTAAAGTTTGATAGAACAATGAAGAAGGCAGAATTGATATAAAAATTTGATCTATTTACGTTAAACATTTTCATCAATTATAATTGTGTAGCTTCAATTGACTCATGATTTCAATCAGTGAACTTTCTAAAAATCTCCATGAAAAACCCCTTCTGATAATAATCATCTGCTCATTAGTGACTGACTTCAAGAGATACTCCTGGAATTCTAATGAGAAGCCGTTACCAGTGGAGTTCATCCAGGTCTGTTGTTAGATATCAACTCACTGAAGACGAAGACAATGGTGTACGGTGACGCAGCTTCGTGGATTGGTGGAAGTTAGACATTAACAACGTTGTATGCCGACTCAGTGATCTAGTTGGTTAAGCGCCTGGCGCAAGACTGATAGGTCCTGGGCTCGAATCTCGCGGGGTTCGGGATCGTAGATGCGCACTGCTGAGGAGTCCCACACTAGGATGAAACGGCCCTTCAGTGCTTCCAGGTTTTTCATGGTGGTCAAGTTCCAATTTAATCATGATTTCAATCGGTGGCATTATAATTGTAACAAAACATTTGTGAATGATCAAGTTACAAATCAAAACACCCGAACCCATTATTGAAGTATTAGTAACTGATAATTAAAAATCGATTTTAGTTATTATGAAATGAATCATAAAAGGTTATTAAATTATATTATAGTGAAATATATCTCTTTAATTAAACATGTGACTAGAAAAAGTAATAAGGTTTTTAGAATCATCAGGGTTAAGTAAAGAATAATTAATGTTTGAACAATGAAACGAGTAGATTATAATGTAATGTGAATTCACCAATTTTTTTCTCCTCCTACTTAGAAAAGAAATGAGATGTACTTAGTACATTATCAAAATAATGCACAAGTACGTATAGTTCTGTTTTTAGAGTGAGCTCTTTTTTTATTATATTAAGATTAAATTGAACAACCATAGATACTTTGAACAAATTCTTAAGTATAAATGAAATAGACAGTTATGTAAATTATGTTTAATTTGCATCATTTACATGAAAATCTATTTATGTTATTTATTCTCTCGTATCCACAGTTAATGACAGCCTGAGTGACCCAATAAGAATATCGCTAACTGTAGTAATGACAAAGAGATTTCGAACTCTGTATAATAGTAGGAGGTTCTTTTATAATTCAAACATATCTCTCTCTTAAAAGTATTAATAAACGAAATGTCAGGGATCATGCATATTGTTGGATTGTTCAGTAAATACAAGAACTGAACTGCTCACAGTTTCAATAAGCATTAACATATACTTTTGGGCTATTAATGAAATGTTGAAGAATCTCCATGATAATAATACAGTAGCATAAAACTCCATTTTCAAGTAAATCAAGAGTTACAATGAAGGATGTAAGGACTGTCAGTCAAATCAAGACAACTGTTGACTTATTATTTAAACGAAAATATAACAGGTATGGTCTATGTTTCTTTGAAATTAACAGTTCTAATTATTATGAATTCTACACTCACTATTCGACTAAAAAATTTGGGGCTGAAAATATCATCTGCACAAAATAAACCTCGACGAACTAATTGAAAAATATTGGTTTCTAAGAGACTTTTAGGTTTAATTTCAACAATAGTATCAAGAATAGGATAAAAGGATTGACACAGATGGGAAATATTCTGAAATGGATAAGATTGATTTACAGCAAATGTTGATGTAATCAAATTTCGCCTGGAGTCCCTCCGGGAGCTACTGCCGATCTCAAGCCCGGATAAAGGAGGAGGGTTAAGCATGGGGTTAACGACCCCATCCCATAGAAAACTAACTCGCCAAAAAAAACGCTAACCAGAAGAAATTATTCAAACCTTTTAAACTCTGCCCTGGGAGTCAGAAGGGCTTCATTTAGAAGAGTTATTACGCCTCATTAAGTAATTGATGTAATCGATCCTCACTGACATTAATTCACATATTTGTCAGACAGGTTTCAAACACATTAAAATGCTTCGAAATAATGTCATACATAATTTTATTTAATACATGAAATTACATTCAATATATTTCTACAATAGATTTATGGAATGTAAAAGACGAATGTATTATGTAACATTTGTAGTATTCAAAGACATTTCACATTCCTAAATGATAAATGTCACAAATGAATCATGATCCAATCAATATGTAATCGATGAAAAAGGTTTTCAGAAATTAAAATCTTGTGATCAACTTATTGCGTTGAAGGCACTCAATGAATTCTAGAAGTATAACGCAAAGAACACAGAAACGAAAACATCATTGCAACATGTAATCACTTATAATTTATGAGGATGATAGAACCCAATAAACTAAGCGAAGTTGATTCAACTTATTGTTTAAGAAAAATTAGAAATACTCCAATAATAAATAATTATGTTAAAGTGGTGAATTCTTAAAACTTAACTTATCATAATAATGAACAATAATATAGATAAATATGTGAAAACATGCATTCAAATAACATTTTTTTAATCTGTAGATGACTCACCTTTTATTTTATTTAAACATGTACACATTAGTACAAGGAAGGCTAGGATACTGTTCTGGTGCCCAAACCGAAGCAGGTGGTTTTCGTAGGGAGCCACATCCCGAGCCTTTGACCTAAAGGTCTAATCCACGAGACAGTGGAGCAATGTAAGGAGATGCAGTCCCATGGTAGCTGGTGACTAGTAATTGGTTCACACGCCATTTGTTCCTTCACCATACTGGAGCCCATGTACACCATCGGTTGGGAATCAGGGTTTTCCAACTTCCCTAGGTGGGTCTCCTATATCCACCAACCCGATTAAAGTGCCGAACATTCACTTTTCGTAAACAACACCCCCGTCGTGAGAAGGCAGTCAATAGGACTTCCCTGGTAGTGATTATATGCACGTGGCGATGTGAGAGCATTTGGTGAGGGGGAGCTGACTCTCACCACTCTCGACCGTACGAGGGCATTTGGGGGGTTCACCTTACCATGTAGAAATTAGTTAGTAGAAACAGGTCACAAAATCGAAACCCGTGAAAAAGAAAATAAATATCACAGTAATCTAAATAATACATGAAAAACATTTATGAACGATTAAGAACTATCCAAATCTAACTAATATGATCTTTTTGTGCAATATGTTTAGAGGGTGGTTATTAAATTTTGAATCAACCTGGGAAATTGAATTGATATGTGTTTGTCTGTTGTAGCGCTTAAACTTAATTCTAATGAGGAAGTAGTTTTTTTCAGGTGTAGTGTTCAGGAATAGTGTCACAAAGTTGTGCATGTTAATAAAGATGACAGTGACATCTCAAAGTCCTTCAAAATAACCAACGGACAGAACAGATTCAAGGAATTATACATTACCACAGAATTAAAAATGATTTATTCATTCAGTAGGATATTGTTGTCCGTCGTGTACTTCCTTGGTGACTTCATGTTCCAAAGTATAGTTGCTTTACATGTTATGTCTAGTTCTCAATTATAAATTCTTTCTCTTTGCCCTTACGTCTTCTTTAAGTTTCACTCATTTTATTTTTTCAATCACTTCACTTTTGTAGCAGACACTGTGTAAATTTTGCTAACAGTTTTTCAGTAACTTGTCATCACATGTTGCTCCTGATATATTTACATTGTTTAACATGTGAATATACTACACAACTCTACAACATTTACTACTCTTTCTTATAATCATCGTTGATAAGAACTTTCCTGGTATTATAATATTGAGTATGCTCGCATTTTATTCTTAAAATAAACTATCCCACTATTGTTAGGTAATAGGCAGCTGAAGTGAATCAACAAGTTGGATTAATTCACATTATTCTGCTATGATCGTTTTTCACCGCTTTTTTCGAAATTATGTACAGATTTCCTCGAAATTTGATGACATTTGCTTCCGCACATGTATTTGTGTCGTGTATAATGTATCATATCTATATTAGTAACAAATATCCAGCTATTCAACACTGTTTGAAATATTGTATTTGAAATAGTCAAAACAACACCTAGTGCCATATGTTCAAAAAGACTTATGATATATTCGTCGACTAAAAACTGTACGCTAATAGTAACTTATGATACATTTTAATGAATAAAGTAATTGAATTTCATGTTAATTCCATGAGCCTAAGTTAAGTTGACTCTTGAGGAGTGTTGTTGATATATTTATGAAAAATCATGTTGTTCTTGTGTTCATTGCATAGAAACAATTGAGATATTCAACAAAACCAAAATCGACTTTGATAATTGAAACTGACGATCTAGAAAAATACATTAAACCTTTATGTATAAACAAGCCGTCGTTTAGTAAAATTGAACAGCATTAATTTCCTTTATGTTGGTAGTAGACAACTTTTTTTAGAATATAATCTTGTGAAGTTTCCTATTTCCGAACTTAAATTTCTGTGAGATACATTTATTTGAACTGACATCAACTGAAGGATAACTGAAAACCAGTAGACATTGGAAAGTTGCTTTGTCGCAACAATAGTGACTATTGATGTCAGTTTTCTAAATATAATACTTAATTTCTCATACAACTCAATGAGAAACTGGTTCGCTTAACTTCCATGTATGTTTCATTAACTTCCATTTTCAGAGACAGACTAGTTTCACGCCTTAAGTAATATCATCAACGAAATTAATCAATGTTAATTGAATACTTTAAATGATCACTAACATAAAGTTTACAATGACCAGAAAGCGGACGTTAAATAGCAGTGATACAATTTCGCTGAATAAAATAATTTATTTATGCAAATGAATTAAAGATACACCAAATAATTAACTTTGTTCCAAATATAGTATAAAGTATTTGAAAATAGTAGGATCACAGAAAAGTTCAGGTAGACAATTCAATTTTCTACATGATGCAATGCATAGAAAGCTCCTTTCATTTCCAGAAGTGCTGCTGGTGGTCCTGACTCTATCTTACGTCCATCCTGTAACACAACTACCAGATCAGCATTGACGACTGTGGACAAGCGATGAGCAACAACTAATGATGTTCTCGACCCCATAGCAGCGTCAAGGGCTTCTTGAACTATCCGCTCACTCTCATTGTCCAAAGCTGAAGTAGCTTCGTCCAACACAAGTAAAACAGGTTTACGAACTAAAGCTCGTGCAATGGCTATCCTCTGTTTCTGTCCTCCAGATAACTTTGATCCACGTTGTCCAACTTTGGTTTCATATTGCTTAAAAACAGTGGAAGTTATAAACAGTTATTTAATATATTTGAAAATATTCGTAACAATTCGAATAACATGAAAGCTGACAATACAATGAAAATATAAAACTGAAGCGTAATTTTTAGTGAGTTTAACAAACTGAATATTTTCACTCACTTCTGGAAGTGTTGTAATAAAATCATGGATGTTAGCTGCACGTGCTGCCTCAATAATCTCTTCCATCGTCACTTCTCGACTATTGTCTCCATACGCAATATTCTCTCTTATCGTGAGATCGAATAAAGTGGGTTCTTGTGAAACAAGACCAATCTGTTTTCTAACCCAACTAGGTGCAATATTTCTAATATTCATATCATCAAAAAACACACCACTATCGGGACCGTGATATGATGGATCGTAGAATCTCAATACTAACTGAAGTAGTGTTGATTTTCCACACCCAGAAGGCCCAACTAACGCGACTGTTTGACCGGGCACAACTGTATGAGTGAAGTTCTGTGAACGAAAGCGAAACCATTCTAGATAATATTTTTTCATATAAATGGGGTGATAGATTTTTTATCTGATAAATAAAAGGCCGTATAAACACAAATTAACCCTACTATGTCGCATTAAATGTTGAATTGTAGTATAACAATGAAATGCGATTTCATATCAAATTAGCATCATGCATAATGTCTCCATTTAGGAGAGTTGTATTTTTAACTGTTCTGAATTACTTGGAGTTTGCGCTATTATTTCACTGAATTTATCTGTCTTTTAAATTATTATTTACTGATTGAAATAAATTGTTTCAAGACTGTGCCTGCAAATGTATAATTTCATGAAAATGTCCTCTTTTCATACAGAATTCTATCATCATTTCAAATAAACATCATACCTAGCACAATTGTAGATTTGTGAGTATATTTAAATATTCGCAAGTTTTTAAAGGTTGCACCATTATTTCACTTAATTTACCTGATCCTTTTTCAAATTACGCTGTATTTTTATAAATATAAAGGTTTCAAGACTGTGTTTGTGCACTTTTACTGTCGTAAAAACGCAAACTGTCGATGCAGAACTCTATGATTGACTCAAATAAACAACTAACTTCTGTACAATTCCAAATTCTCCTTTTTAACAAATCACCGTTTGTGAGTATACATTCTGTTACTCTGGTGAATTAAGTGAGACTTACACAGAGTATAATGAGATCAGAGTGAAAATGTTTCATTCTTCAAAATTTTATTTTATCAGTTTACCTTTAAAATCCGGCCCTCAGATCGACAAGAGTATTTAAAATAAACGCGATTGAAAGAAACTTTCCCTCTGAATGATTCTGATGGTACAATTCCCACGTTAGCTGGAATGAGGGATTGTCTGTCTAAAAGTGCTAGAATGCTTTTCGCTGCAGGCTTTGATTCCCTTGCATCCATAACTAACGTAGCAGAACGACCAAGTGACTGTGCACTCATACTGATGGTTGCAAAAACTCTATTAAAATTCGAAATATTTAAAAAGTGAAAATTGACAAGGCTTGCCATGCTTTCTTATTAGAAGTCAAAAAATACCATTGTGAAAATCAACATTAATCTTCACAACAAAATAGTCATTTTGCGTAAAAACTGTCCTGAAAAGAGTGAAGTACTCAGAACTGCTATTTATTACATATAGTAGTATCATGTGAGTTGATTAATTAATCAATTACAGCCAATATCGTATTTTTTAATCCTTACACCGAAAAAATTCTATCTATTGAGTTACGACGTTGCTAATAAAATAACTGAATCAGTATCGCAGTACCTTGTATTTGATGTAAATTGTTATGACACCCAGATGTTAGATTTTGATAACGAAGTTATCAAAGCACAGTAATAGGATAATGGTTACTTCAGAAATGTTAAATAATGTATACATCGGATTTCGTTACGAGGAAAATTGCTTTTCAGAATATCACCAGTGATATCCATGACTGTAGTACTCGATGCATTAAGCTTGAATACATCATGGGACCTCATTTCCTTCAATACTTCAGGTACGAAATGTTAAAAAAGTGTTAACTAAGATGAAACCACTGTTTATGGTTGTATTCTAATTGACTAGAAACATCTAATATTAAATCTTAATGTATATAAGGGCATTTTTACAGTACACCTCATATACCATCAATGTGAAGTTTTACATTGCATTCTTATTTGCAAATGATCCAACTGTGAATAAAAAATTGGTGGAAAGTTCGAATCACCTTTCTATTTATCAAATGATCAAAGTTCTTTACATTTGAAATCTAACATCCTGAAGTAACAACCACTCGGCATTTATAAACCGATGTTTATGAAATTTGATCATTATACCGACAGAAGTGAGAAGTCATATTAATGAGTCAACAGTTTTGGCTTTTAAAAGTACTAAAACAGTGTCTTCTGTAGTGCTTTTTCCTAACGGTGTATTGATTATTTTACTAATATAATAAAAAAATGAGGATTGATGTACTGTTCTGAAGCATTCCCTTATAAATTAAGCTTCTATGTAAATCATTTTTCACTCATACTACAGTTCAATAGAAAAAATATCGTTTAGTCCACTTCCTGTTGCAAGTTGAAATTCACAGTTCTAGTAAAACTGATTAAATTTATGAACCAACAACAGTTTCGTATTTCTAATTATTACTTGCTAAAAATGAGTAAGGAAACTAAGAGCGAGTAGGGAGCTTTCATCGGCTAATCCTATCAAGAATACATGTACAACACATTCATTAACATAGATGAGATAGAATATGATATTTCTTTAGAGAGTAAAGCCAAATCTTGGCCAGTAGCATAGCGGAAAAATTGTCCACTTGTCTTTATATGCTGTTATACCAGCTATAATGTACTGGGAATCAATCAATCCATAGATAATTAATATCTCGTTACAGTAAGAAATTTACCTGAATACTGCGACTACTGTTATAACATTTGTTGAAACCAAATATGCACCTAGGGCGAATGCTGCCGCAAACGAAAACATTGGCACACCCTCAGCGAGTGCATAAACCAAAGAGTAAAAAAGAATTTTTTTGGTTCTTTTTCTAGAAGATTCATGAAAAAAAATTTCGATTTACAAAAAGAAAAAAGTTTTACCATTTTGTCATTTATATTCTTGAATAGAGTTATAAATGGTTTTAGAAGTCAAACACATAAATATTGTAACACCCGGTTAATTACAGAAAAAGAGGTTTCGTAAAAGGTGTAAAATTAAATTTTATTATTATTATTAATGGCTTTATTCAATATTATATTTTTGGTACAATGTAGAATTCTCAGTTCAAAGTATTTCAACAAGTCTCTTTTACAAAAGAAAAAAACTAACTGATGACTGTATATATATATATATATATATATATATATATATATATATATATATATATATATATATAAACCACCCAGAATGGAAGTTATTAACTAGGGCAATAACAATCTGTTCGTCACATAATATACTTGCTAGATAAGGAATTGTGAAGCTTTTGTACATTTGCTTACGTGCATAAATTCTAATGTATTGACGTCTCGTTCTTTCAGGAGATATACAAGAAGAGCGATATGTTAAATAGAGCAAGAACAAAGATTGGTGCAGAATAACATGAATTCATTTTATTTCGTTAGGTTCTCATCAGCTGCTTACAACCTAAATTATTTGAAATTCAAAATTATTACAGATATTGACCTATTTATACATAAGAGTGTGATTAAGGATTAATACATGTGTATCATGATGTAGCGAAGATTCAGATAGAGTTAATGAGCTCATAAAATGTTTAATTCGAATAAATAAATAAAGTTAGAGAGGGAAAGTTCCAGAACATTGAAATAGTGATTACAACTCATGAAAATAGATTAATGGTAATAAAGAAAATATGAATTGAAATCAATCAGTTATGTATGATGTAATTTAAAAGAGTTGGAGTAATGACGCAATAAATGAATAGAGAAATAAATGAATAAAAAAGGGGGTTTTGTTACCAGGGTAAAGATAGATTTATTACTGTCTCTTTTTGTATACATAAATCTGGTTTTAAACGTTTGATTGCTATTGCTTCAGCAAATTTCAAAAGGTTGGAGTTTGATTGTTTGTTAATCACCTTGAAGGACCTCAGTATATCAACTTCATGTCCTGTGTCAAGGAGATGTCTTGCGATGGCACTGCTGGATGCTTTTAATCCATTTGATGCTAAACTTTTCGGAATATATACTTTGAATCGGACGTAGGCTCTCTTTTCTGTTCTACCAATGTAACTGCTTTGGCAGATACATGTGAATTTGTATACACAGTTGGTGGTAACATGAGAGGGATACCTGTCGACCTTTGATTGTGTCAAAGAACATGTGGTTTTGGACAGGACAATCAATTTTGCTGCAGGGAAAGTTCTTGAATGAAGTGGATGATCAGCATCTTGTAAGATAATACCTGCTAAGAGTTTGAAAAATTTTAGACGTCTGCCAACAACAATATTAATAATGACGCTGAAGATTCACCACATACCCTTTCAAATACTTTCAAAACTCTCCGCAATACAGCAAAGTCTTTCGCAAAAGCACGGGAAATAATGAAAAAGAACAGTAAAGAATTATAGGTAATATTCAAGAATTAGCTAATCTTAAAAGTAAAGGTTGAGTAATCTCAAAAGCATTTACCCTCTATATGTAGTAAGTCAGATGGGAAACTTTCTTCGATGACAACAAATTATGAGAATACAAAGAGAGATCAGAGGAAGACCTTACAACGAGAAAAGTGATCTTTGACTCTGTGTTTATCAAACAATTTCCAAAAGTACAAGCTTTATGGAATTCCAACAGGGTGTTTAAGTGCTATTCGTTTCTCAGGTTAAAGTTGACAGTATGAAATTTAGAAGGATTAATTGGGAGACCATTAGCAACAGATCATCGTTCAAAAAGAGACAAGAATTCATTCATTTCAAGGTGGTGTGAAGAGGTAGAAATCAGCATACATACAGTGAGATCGTTCACACATTTCACAAAAGTGTTTTCTGTGGAAGGTAGCAGATCATGAAGAGAAAAGAGGAAACAAGACGGGAATAAACAGTTCCTTGTGGCACACTTTCATGAGTCAGTAGAGACTTAGAAGGCTTTCTTTCAAACACATTGATGTCTGAAAATGTCCCAAGTCACTTAACTCGTCCGAATGTTTGGGACCTGGAGAAATCCTAAACTTCGTTTTTGAGAAAAAACTTACATACTGTGTTATTCATTCACATCTTCAACAAATCCTTATCCTTTTCTTTAATAAATGTCAGACTTGAAATCAAGTATGATACTTCTAAAATCCTAGATCCATGATGACAACAGCGGACTTTGAAAGATAACAACCGGCATACTACTACTTTATGTGTTCGACACTATTTATGAATTCTAAATAAACTCAAACGATAACTTTTATATTTCATGGAAATACAAACTTAACTTCAATGTCTAACGTCCATGTCATCAAACTCATAAATAAAAGTATTGTTACTGTCTAAATGTATCTTTGTGATGTTTATCATTTGACTGAAAATAATTGATCTCACTATACTCTTCTAATGTTCATAACACTGACTAAAATATATCTATCCTGATATCTCAGCTTTCGTAATAAGTCAGTGTTTTAATTATCCAGATGCCCGTGTCAGTATTTTGGATAAATAACCAGAATCGTCTGATGCGAATTCACCAGTATGTAGAATTCTGAGTAGAAAAATTAATGACCCGTAAAAAAGAAATAGAGATTTTATTTAAATATCTAAAACTAGTCAGTAGTATAAAGTTTCGGTCTCATTATGCTCAATCACCGTTATAATTTAGTTGAGTAGTAGATCTAACCAACAAATCTCTATGTGATGGTAACAAGGTTGATTTCGTAGGTATATTACATTCGTTCACATTAATCAGTCGTAGACGTTTAGTCAATCTGTACAGTATCCTAACTGGACAAATTAAAAAAGACATTTGAGTACTTGAGCTACAAACTTTAAAAAAATACGGAACATTTTCCTATCAAAATTATTGTTTAAATGTATGAAATTGATTAATATCTAAGGAAACTCAGAACGATTAGAAAGTATAATATCACTGATAATTCAAAGTTCAATCTCAAATAGAAGACTAAATTATTTACCAATGTCAGTGGTGTTTACTGTAACTACAAAGAATAGATAGTTCATCTAACATGTGGCAGTCATTACTCGCAAATTATTTTGATGTATAAGAATAGCTACATAGCAATATTATTTGATAAATATGAGTGATCATAATCCTTAAACATGATGAATCATCAGCTCAAAATAATTACTTTACATATTGAACTACATAAATGCATAACTTCCATGTACAGTCAAAATTTCAAGTAACCAGCAATTTGTTTCTATCATATTATTTGAACTTATTAATAACAGTCTGTAAAACATTGTCCTAACTGTTGCTAACTTAATAATAATTTGATAAATGATAGAAAAGCATTCCACATGCCGACTTTACATTCCATTGTAAATTTAATTGAGATATGTGAACTATCGAAGAGAAACAAAAAAGTAAACCACTAGTAGTCAGTCTTCAAAAACAGTGTCGTTGCTATCAACATTTATGAACTAAGGTGTTACTTTATTACTTGACCTATTGAACTTGGAACTTGTTTTTTACTTGTCCCATTTTGCATTTCAGAACCCAATCAGTAATATAGCTTTAGGGTTATTTTTGCTAAACTGAAATATATAAAGTATTTTACTAGAATTTAGTATACAACTACTATCACTGTATGAAACTAATGAGAGCTTAACTGAATAAAATAAATAACTTTTACCAAATGATGTTTTGTTGCTCTACATTTCATTAAGTTTACAATCTGAATTCTAAGTCTGTAGTTGGGTATGTATCCAATTTTCAGTTTCTTAGTCATAAGTTATCAACGAATTTCCAAGTTAATTTGCAACATTTTTAAGTATTAGTTTGTGGGGATTGTCGAGTTTCAGTAACTCATGCGTTTTATTTATTTATTGAAGGCAGAATCTTCTTAGAGTTTGGCTGATGAATTAAAGTTAAGACACAAATCGAAAGATAAATTGTTTGTTCGATTTTAGTATTGTCTACAATGAATATAAAGTATACACAATTCATCTAACCCATGAAAACCGTTACTTGTAACGTACGTTGATGCATAAGGATACCTATTCAAAATTATCATTAATCTGATAACTATGAATAATCGGAATTCTGAAACATTATGAATTGTCATCTCAACATAATTACTTTACATAATGAGTTGCATAAATGTCTTCTAGTTAACAAGTAAGATTTCATAAAAACCGATATACAACCAAGCCTGCTTGAATATCTGGGCTACCTGTTCCTCCGATCTAGATATTTCATCAAGTTATCTGTTTTGTTGTTTGTTTTAGCACATCATTATGTCTATTGTGCGCACAATTTATTCAGGCGCGTTTATGAAAAGTTTACAAGCTTTCGCTATACGTGATACAAAAAGGTACAATCAGCGACATCATGGTGGCTGGCAATATGCATTGAAACGAATGAACATTAATCAAATGTGGATTACCGAACTCCTAACATCTAACTAGTCATCATTCAAAATTTATCGTCACAATAGATCAAGGTATAAGAAAAGGAAACTTGTTGAAATATTTTATGCTGAGAATTCTATGTTGTACCAAAAATATAATGTTGAATAAAGCTTCTAATAATCATAATAATAAATCAGTTATGTTTAATCATGCTAGTCTTCGGTGTACAGTCAATTGACAAAAATTGTGAATTTTAAATGATCAATTATTTGTTTTATCATACTGGAAAATGTAGACAGTAAACATTAGCAATGACTCAATTAAATAACAAACATGGAAATGGTTTTTTTCAAATGATTTATTTCATATATACAATAGGAAAGCGTGTTTGAAACTTCTTTACCACTATGAACATAGTTATGTTGAAAGAATTTCATATACTTTGTTGTTTAAAATCTTACCGATCATCTTCAGTTTAATCATTGCATTAATTTTGTCTCACTTGTATCATCTGAATTTGTAGTCACTTCTAATTAATGAAATTCACAATGCACATTGATAGAACTAGATTTCACACAATACCATTTATCTATTATTATTTTATTTTGGAATCCCATATATTTCTATGAACGTAAACCGTTTTAAGTTGATGAGAAGATATAAAAATAGTTTGAAATTTATAACTTACAAATCATATTGCATTTGATCTACTCAAAGCTTTCAATGGAACTAAAGTTGTTTAAGTTGACTTGTTAAATGTACATCATATACAGTGAAACGAAATCTGAACATTTTTTCGCTGTATTTCATGCAATAACGATATTCCTACTAAAATTAATTTGAATCGGACCTATTAATCAAATAAATAGTCAGTGATTTTTCTGTCTGAGACATAGTTTCGTCTATGAGCTTTTTGATATTATTATTTGAATGACTGCCAAATTAGATGGAATTCAACCTAACATCTATAGTTTAAAGCAGAGTACTTTAATCAGTAAGACACTGTCCTCGATTTCTAAACAACGTTTAGTCTTCAAAGAAGATTAAGACATGTGCACAATATTTCGGACGTTAATTTTAATGATCTTTTAAGCTTAACTTTATTTATCCAAGTTGAAAAATAACTACTGACAACTTCAAGTTTTAATACTGTTTAATTGATAAAGTAATCAAAATGTTTTAGTTATATTCATATCAAATAGTTAACACTCTATACCTCTCAAATTTGCAGTAACTTAAAACATACTAAATCATTAGATGGATAACTCTTAAAACACCATTTAAATTGTGTGATTCAATGTTATCAATGGAATAATATGAATATGTTGGAAAAAGAACTACTATTAATCTCAAACATATTTTATAGTGTTAATTAATCTGGAAAAAAATTACTGAATTGATTTTTTGAAATCTAAGAATACACAATACTCTTCGTCTATTTCATGTAAAATATGATTCTTTTTGTAGGTCTATATTATAATTACCGTTTAATATTGATAAATTCACTAACTATCAAATGTGTGTTTAAATAATCACACACACACACACACAAAAAAAAAACTGATATTGTCATAACATTTAACTTGTAGTCAGCGGTAGTCGGTTAAAAACTGCTTTTTTTCCTTCTTCTTCAAATTCAAATTCAATTGTAAACTAGACAATCTTTTGATGGTTAGAGAATAATTATTTATTCAATATAATCTTCTTTTGTTTAAATGAATCAGTGCAAGATAATGTAAAATAGGCTGTTCACTTGAAAAAATAAAGTAAATTGTTTTTACTATTGTACTGGATATGTATAATGCTGTGTATTCACTAATGAATAAGTAACAATAAGATGATATCATGTTGTACAACTAGAAAAGTGTTTTGGACACTTTTTTTGGTAAAACAATTGTAAAATTGGTAATTATTATTTTAAACCTCATTTTTATGTATTTGCATCTCACTCAGATTGTATTCGCTGTTTGATTAGCCAAAAAAACCATAAGTTTGTATTTTGAATAGAAAGTATTGCTTTTATAAACAAAACATTTAAAGACGAAACAAATTATTTTTTAAAACTCACTTTTGATTTTCAGAAGCATAAGATTTAAAACGTTTGAAAAAGTATTCCTCTAAGGTATGTGTAGTTACAGTACGATTTGAGCCGATTGCTTCTTGAGCTACTCGCATTGATTCAGTGTCATTTCTACTCTTGCCTTTTCCTGACATTGAACGCATCTAAATGTCGGACAAGAAGTAATAAAAAACTCACTCGCTCTAAACACTCAAAATATCGTTATTTCATATAATTGAAAGGGTTGCAGTTTTTTACGACCAAATCAACAACAAATAAGTAAACTATTTCTTAGTTTGAAGTAACGGGCTTATATTTCCTATCACAATTACTATGACTACTTTGTTATTTGTTACGTTAGTTTCATTTCTATATATAGGTGCGATAATGTTAACTTAACTGTGTCACTTTCAACCCTGTGACTGACTGACTAAATAATTTATATAACTAAAACTTTATCTAATCAAAGTCCTACAAAATCTTTGGCCATATTTTAATGCAACCATTTCAAGAATATGTATCTCAATAATGGTTAAAACGACTTAGTATTTAAAAATAAAAATCTAGTTTAAGAAATTACTGTGAAATAAATTTTGTTACCTGTAAATATCCACCAATGACGATAATCGGATAAAATGCTAACACAACCAAAGTTAACTGCCAACTGTAAATGAATGCTATCACAAGTGACATAATTATCAGTGCTAAAGCTTCTATAATAAAACCCAGTTGTGCACCAGAAATCATTGACATTTTTGTTGCATCTGTAGCAAGTTTGGCTGTCAATGCACCTGCTTGATTTTCTGGTTCATCAAACCATGCAATTTCCTAAATTGTTTTAAATAATGAAATATTTGTAAAATGTTTTCATGTAAGTTTATTATTAAAAATAAAAATCACTATCAAGTTGTTTTCAACTTACTTGACGTAGAATAGCTTCAAAAACCATAGAACGTATACGTTTGATTAGTTTTTCACCTGATTTCCCAAAAAGAAATCCCTAAAATAAAAATTAAATGATAAATTAATGAATTTGGGTATTGCTCATTTTCCATGGTAGAATATCAAAACAGTTTCCTAAAAATAAACGAGAAAATATTTAATGATCTGAATTATTTATGATAGTTATTAATTATATAATATACCCTTATGGGCCAGGGTAATTTTACATTCGTTTTCAGGAGAACCAGACACCATCCAGACTTTCATATGACAACCCAAACAGTACAGCTCAATCCCGCTTCACAGAAAAACCAAACACTGTATAGGCTTTTACGCTACAATCTGAATAGTACAGCTCGATCCTGTGGTGCAACCACACAGGTACCAAGCACCCTGGTGGATCAATCATACCTATATAAATTATGTAATTGAAATATTATTATTTCATTTAACGTTAATATCTGACAATCCATTCAACATCCATTCATACATTATTTGAAATGACAAAGAAATTGTTAGAAAATAGTTCACCTTGAATATTCGATAAAAATTATTTTCATAAACTGGTAGCATTAAATTTTTTTATAAATCATTATTCTATTGTGAATTATATAAACTTTATTTAATCTCCATGCTCAATAACGCTTAAAATTTATCTGATTTTTTTTAGATAATAACGGTAAGTTTAGTGGTTTATATAAAGACGACTTAATCTTATTTTTTCTGGCTAGCTATCTACATAAAATACTTTGGATCCGTTGGTCAGACACTATGAGCAACAACCTACTGTGGGAGAGAACAAACCAGATCCCAGCGGAGGAAGAAATCAAGAAGAGGTGCTCGAAGTGGATAGGACACATATTGAGGAAAGCAAACAAATGCGTCACAAGACAAGCCCTCACATGAAGTCCTCGAGGCCAAAGGAAAAGAGGAAGACCAAAGAACACATTACGCCCAGAAGTGGAGACAGACATGAGAAGAATGAACAAAAATTGGATAGAACTAAAAAGGAAGGCCCAGGACAGTGGGTTGGAGAATGTTGGTCGGCCGCCTATGCTCCATTGTGAGTAACAAGCGTATCTAAGTAACTTAATCTCATAACTGTCATTCTTTTTTTTCATTATCATAATTTTATGATAAAGTTGTTACCGAAATTATCTTTAAAAATTTATAAATAATTACAGTTGAACTCATGACTAGACTAGACCACTATTAAAAACGTAGAAGCACTTAGTCTTCGGTCTTAACATCTGGACCACCGAGCCGGCATCCGACGGTGTTAATATCTAAATTCAACCGATCCATGATAATAATTTGATAAAATCATCATGTACTGACTAGTGACTGGCTTCAAGACGTAACTCTTGGAGTTCAAGTGCGAAGCCGTTATTAGTAAAGTTCAGTCCGTATCGGGTAGAGACAGGTAACTACCTCAGACAATGGGTGAAAGGTTGCACAAGATCATGGATTGACTAAAGATAGATATTAACACCACTGGATGTCCACTCGGTGGTCTAGGAGCTAAGTTTCAACGAGCGAGACAGAAGGTCCTGGGTTCGAGTAAAGTATGTAGTATCGTGGTGAGAAGTCCCATACTAGGACGAATCGACCGTCCAGTGCTTTTACGTTTACAGTGATGGTCTAGCTTAGATCGACTCACGAATTTGACAATTACAATTACTACAATCTCCACAAACCCCTCATTCTGATAATAATTACAGTTGAATTCATTTATTTGAATGGCATAACTTCTAGTTCGTAGTATTATGTTTTTGACAGAAACTTTGACCTATTTGTTATCCTTCATAAGATTAAATTTTTGAATATTCTGTACCACAACGTCTACGAAACGATGTTCATCTATGTAGAGATATAAACATTACAACTTTTAAGAGTTAAATCATCTAATGTCAAACCCCATAAACAAGTTGGAAATTTACATGGTATTCGTTTAATCAATTTATGAAGATGATTTACCATTTTATAAAACATTTTTATCGAATTTGAATGAACAGATTATAGTTAAGATTTCATTAGCTATTACGTTACTACATAAAGTAACTTCCAATATATTATTAAAGAGTAATACATATTTGACTGAATAATTCAGCCGATACTTCTTGAAATAAGAGAACTATTGCCTAAAATTAATTCATTTTCGAATATTCTTTGATTTACTTAATGAATTTTATATTAATTTAAAAGACGCCAAAACGATATGAAAATTTGTTAGAGAACTGGAATTATGAATAAAAATTCTAACTCAATGTTAGAAAAGAATAATTAAGTGAACAAGATTACAAATAGAAAACAGTCTCTTTTTTTATAGTACCTGACAAAGAGAAGCAGTGAAACGCAAAACTCCAATTAACACCATCATTCCACTTATAAGACTAATTCGACTGGACATTAAGTCAGGATTTGATCTCAAAGTGAATATCTGAAAAAATTTTTAATTTTTTATAATTAAGATATTTTAAATAAAAATTAATTCTAATAAGTATATTATAGATTTAAAACACGAGACCAATACGTTTATTCAGTTCATAATCTATATGACTTACTTTAAAGTTGCTAAGTATGTTTGATACACAACTCTGCCTTCATCATGAATTTGTGCTTCAACTGCACTGACGGTTGACATTTTATCTTATATTACTCTAAAATTGATCAAATCACGTTGTATGTAAATACATTTAAATAATCTGAACATCTTGAATTTTTCGATTACTCATTTCTTCATCTTTGTTATAATAATTCAATTCACGATGGTAAAAAAAAACATAAGTTTCTCAAAAAAAATGTTAGTTATTCCACACATTTTAAGTAATTCTTCGATCTCCGATGCTCAAATAATTTTATTGATTGGTATTCTTAAAAGAAGATTAAATCTTTGACTGACATAAGAATAAAGAACCATTGATTTTGTAAAGTAAGATTACGTGCTTTAATGCAAAAGATTTCGAGATCTCATATCTACATTATCAAGAAGACCCCATCAAAAATAACTATAGTCGCTTACAGTACTTATGTTAACATTCATTAAGATTGTAGTCCAACACATCATAATTATCGATATTAAACGTAACACTTTTTCAACTTAATCTCATTCCAGCCACAATTGTTCAACATAGTAGATGAAGAATGAAAACATTCAATATATAGTCCTGTCACTTTATTTGTGGTAGGGAGATGCTACCATCAATTAATCGGTCCTGCTAATCTAGAAGCACATAAATTTAGCAGTAAACGTTCAATCGCTTCATCTAGTGATAGTAATTTACCAAGAACGTCAAAGTTCAAACGCTTATAATCTTAGATTTCGTCCATCGACCACCAGGTTTCATAATATAGAGAAGTATAGAGTGAACTCCTAGACTAAAGATGGTCAAATATCTTGGATTTTCAAATTCAGTTTTCATTATTAAGTGAAGACTTAAGTGAACATGTACAAACTACAACTACGTTAAAACTAATATCTATGGTTGGAGTTTTTCTGTTTCACTGTTTTCACTTCACGACCAGCTTTTAATTATTTTTCTTTTAAAATAAAATGACCAAAAGAAATAAAAGGTAAAGATCTATAAGCTTGATGGATAAAAGGACTAGTATAATCGTAAATTAATAAACTATTTACTAATACAAAGACCATTTATGCTATTCCATTCGAAAGTAAGTTGAAATAATACAATGGAACATGTGATAAGTAACATCTGTTATCTTAATCGAGCACACTGAAATATGGAGAAAAAATTATGGAATACTGTTCAAATTTATCATTCCCTGTAAGTATGTGTAAATCAAACTTGAGTTTTTTTCATTACATATTAGTCTCTTGGCAATATAATTAGATGTAATATGATGGAATTTTAGAAACATAACCTGTTGTATGAACCCTTTAGTTTTAGAGTAAAAGTATGAAGGGATAAGAAATCTTAATCATTTTTTGTAAACTGTTTCAACAACCTCCGTGTAGAGTAGATGTGAAATGTTTAATAATGGAATACTGAACGTGCGGTTCTTCATATTTGAGACCCGCTGTCTGGGTCTGTCGGAGTAAGCTCTGGAATGCAGGTACGTCCAACCAATGAGTCTTAAATAAGACGAGCTGGATTACACTACTAGCCACATTCCATCTATTTCACGTAAATGTGTTTGGTAGGATGTATATCGAGGTAATCCACAAAAGGTCAGAAACAAACACCTTACATGAAGAGATCAGGAAGTACGGGAGTGAGAGTAGTTAATATGTTTAGTTTACTAAGCAAATGTGCGGTCGAATGAATCATTAAGTGTTTAACCAATTTCCATCTTAATGATAATAGAAATAAATAAGTAGGCTATCACACGCATTCGATTAGGCGTATTTATATGTGCTTGAGGATATATTTGAAATATATATACGCAAGTTATTATGGCTGAAGATGACACTATCTGTTTGCCGAACAGGTTAAGCCAAAGGCATAATTAATTTGGTTAATTTGACTAAAGTATATTACTGCGAAGCAAAAATCTAGGCTTCACCAAAAATCCACCAGTTTGTGTATATGTAAACACAAATACATAGGAAGGTGAAGTAGTGATTCGCATGTGAGGATAACTGATCATATACGAATGTTTGTATGAACGTATGAATTCCATTTGTCTTATGTGAACACAAGATAAATAAACATCTACCTCAACAACGAAACATTTAGTTCAGACGGCTCATAGGGTTGATATCAAATCAATGTTGTGGCGTTTATTCTAAGGTTTACTGAAAACTAAGCCATATGAAGATTCAGAATCTTTTCATGTAATCAGTTTGTTATGTAAATTTATCATTCTGCATTATCTTTATTTTTTCTTATCTTTCAGTTTGTCTAGTTGACTTTCACTTTTTTATTTACAATGGTCATAATGAGTAAATGTGTGGTCAGACTATTCAAAATAAATCGGCTAAAATATAGTTCTGGATAAATGCCATCTTTTCATTGCATTATTTCGATTTTTCAAAGAAAATAACTGTACCAAACCAAATACTATGAACTTACATCATACACTTCGGTGTATAGAAGTGCAAATGCTGGCTGAGCAGTTCCATTTACCAGACAACAGAAGCAACCTATGATAATTAACGGCAATTCAGGTTTGTTAAGTTGTAAAACTCTTAATGTAGGAGATTTCTTTACTTTTTTCAGCTGTGGAAACAAATAATAAAGGAGACAGTAAACTCGTCATTAATGATTGGCACATCAATATTTCACAAAATATTTAACCAGAATATATATAAACATTCACATCTAATTAGTCATTAGAAGTTTTATCCCATACACGACGACAAATGAAGGCGAAGACAGACAATGTAGCAGTAATGTCGGCTGAAGCAGGCAAAAAATGGAACAGGGAGAGCACCAAACCAATCACAGTTGATGGAGAAGCTCTGGAAGAAGTGGGAAGTTTTACATACCAGGACAACATCATTGATGAATAAGGAGGATCTGATGAAGATGTAAAGGCACGAATTAGCAAAGCAAGGGAAGAACTCTAAAATTGAAGAACATCATGAACTCAAAATAACTGTCAGCTAATATCAAAGCCATAACTTTCAATAGAAACGTTAAGAAAGCCCTATTGTACGGTGCTGAAACTTGAAGAACTACTTCAACCATTAAAGATGTACAGGCATTTATAATCGGATGTCTACGCAAGATACTCAATGTCCGTTGACCTCATAGCATCAGCAGCAACCTACTTTGGCAGAGAACAAATCATCTTCCAGCTGAAGAGAAAATTAGGGAAAGGCGATGCAGGTAAATAAGACATACATTACGGAAATCTTCGAACTGTACCACCAGTCAAGCCCGAACTTAGTATCCTGAAGACAAAAGGAAAAGAGGCAGACCAAAATTCTGGCAATCGGAGACAAACATCAAAGGAATGAATAAAAGTTGGAAACAACTGGAAAGGAGAGCCGAAGACAGAGTTGGTTGAAGAATCCTGGTCGGTGGCCTATGCTCTTCACGAGTGGTGACAGTTGTAAGTAAGTAAGTACTCACCAGAAAACCAATATTATACTGATTGATAAACCGCTGAAAAACATGAAAGATAAATGTAGTTTATTTATGTTTCAGATACTCTGATTTCTTCTAAAAGTTGAATTATATGCCAACAAATGACAGTAGCATGTCAGAATGAAATAGTGTTAACTCTAGCAATCTTCGTACTTTGTAAGGTTGATCATATACAAGATTGGGGATTTTTGCAAAATGTTGTGAAACCAGGTGTCCAGCCAGTTGTGGTTTAGTGGCGGCATGTATTTGCAACTATGAGAAATGACAGTTTAAAAGCGATTTGAACTGATGCATATCATTGAAGCATTTATGGACAATACTACTATACTAATCTAAAAAAGGCTATCAAAATGTCTAGCAACTGAATTTCGAACGTAATCAATAGGATTTAATCAGCTACAAGTATTGAAAGCACTACAGAAGCTATTATCTAATAACTCGCTGAACACCTGTTCGTATTTCTTTTCATATCATTCTCGGTAATCTGAAGAAGATAAGAAGAATAGTAAGAAGTAGCTTGATGTGCAGATTCTTATTTCGTTCTTGCTATCGACTGAAATTCAACTACAATCACATTATTGCATACCAAAGAGCACAATATAAAAACTGAAGCTCTATTTAGTTTTTCTGACAGATAGTAACTTTAAACTGAAAATAATGCATCTGGTTTTGAACGCAAAATAAAGTGCTCTTTTTAATATTATATTAGCTGTAAGTTATGTTTGATTGTTAAGTGCTCCAAAACTGTCATCAACTGACAAATAAAGCATACTCTGAGTTTACGATTGATTTTTAAAATAAATAGGAAGCAAGACGAAAAATAGAATATCATCTAAGATGTGACTTTAAGAATCTATAACCACATAAAACCCTTAGTATCTGTGGGATATTTCAACATGATATTTCTTCAACAAGGTCAATGAATCCTTCGAAAAATTACTATAAGATATCACTAAATACCCCTTTAGCAACTGATTATTTCAACCAATGAATGAATTGGGTTAAATAATTATTTTGTAATGCTATGGTCATTTTGAATGCTGAACTGTAAGGACTTATCATTTTTTTGTCTTTACTGTTTTGTAGTCAGTTATAAAGAGACAACTGGTTTGAAGTTATTATTAATTTTATTACAAAAAATTTATCAGAATGGGTTTTGTGGAGATTTCTAGAAATTTCACAAGTTGAAATCATGAGCCAATTGAAGCTAGACCACCATGGAAAACCTGGAAGCACTGGACGGCCGTTTCGTCCTAGTATGGGACTCCTCAGCAGTGGCTCATGATTTCAACTTGTGAAATTTCTAAAAATCTCCACAAAACCCATTCTGATAATAATAATCACCTGCTCACTAGTGACTGACTTCAGGAGACACTCCTGGAGTTCTAGTGAGAAGTCGTTACCAGTGGAGTTCAACCAGGTCTGTTGTGAGATAGGAACTCACTGAAGACAATGGTGTACGGTGGCGCAACTTCGTGGATTGGTTGAAGTTAGACATTAACACCGTTGGATGCCGGCTCAGTGGTCTAGTGGTTAAGTGCTCGCGCGCGTAGCCAGTAGGTCCTGGGTTCGAATCCCGCGGGGGGCGGGTTCGTGGGTGCGCACTGCTGAGGAGTCCCATACTAGGACGAAACGGCCGTCCAGTGCTCCCAGGTTTTCCATGATGGTCCAGCTTCAATTGGCTCATGATTTCAACTTGTGAAAAAATTTATCGTCAAGTTAATTTACACATTAAAATTTGTATTTAAAACGTTATGCCTGCCACTGTTCTGTTTGTAGATATAATTATTTGACTTGGGATCTCACAGTGAATGTGGGTAAAATGAAGTAAAAACTATTGATAAGGTTTTATTTCAACCCGGAAATAAATCAAAATTATGTAAGAATAATTCATGATTTGTATAATTTATTAACAATCAGATTTGTTAAAATTAAGCTGAATAGTATTTAACATTAATTAATTAATTAATTACTATGTAAACACATATTTACAACTTCATACAATGAAAAATATATAACCAAACATATATAATTAATTGACATAGTCATACAATTACTTCTACTCAAAATGTAACTACATGACATAGAAGATTGGAAAAAAAATCAGATTTGTATATTACTCACATTCTAAACTACTAAGTCACTACTTGTCATAACATAAATTAACATAAAATAAATAATTTACTTTACATTGACCAACATATCCATATGCTCTTGATATACCTAAATAGTGCAAATCATTAATACTTGAGAATTAAATGGTGGTTATTTGTGATAAGATACGAAACAGATTAGGGGTATTTTGTAAGCATAACAAATTTTCAAGGGGCGATCTATGAAAGTTTTGAAAGATTTTACTCATCGGAATATATGTTCGAGATTCTAAACATACCTGAGCCCGTGTGATTTGTGATGCTGCAGTAATTGACATACTTCTACGGGGCAACGTTCCAGTACTTTCAGATATGTTCTAAATACATATAAATGTTATGACGTTTATAGTGATCTAAAAAGCATAACTCATAATGAAACTTCAATATACATTAATAATTTATTTAATTTTGGATATCTTAATTGATTCATCCTTGTCTAAATTTTTCTTGTTGATTTACCAGAATTTATTGACCAAATATGAAATTCATTCACTAGTTGGAACTTACAGCTGAGAGAACATGTTCACAATTCTTCAACTATTTACTTTGTTGGAGTGATTTTATTTGATTGAGATAGTTGAATAGTGTCAAAGCTTTTTTAGTGACCAAATACTGCTGAGGAACTATCACAAAATTGAAAACAATACAATGGTGACGAAATCCCTTAACATTCTCTTCATGATTAGCTGTACAGACAACTGATATCTTGGCTAGGATTTAAATTAACATTGAAGAATTGAACTTTTTGAGGCAGTTGTCACAAATCGACAAATGGTTAGAGATTATTCCTTTGCGGACAAAAATAAAGTTCTGTTATCAACATCTTTAAGGTAAGTCATACTCATTAACATAATGAAATCTGGGTCGCATCCTTAGTGACTTAGCAGAAACCAATACTCAATACCTCAATTATTTGTCGCACAGATAGGTCAATAGGAAGACGGACAGTTTTTTAAAAAGATTTTGCTGTTTGTAGGTAGTTACAGTGCTTCCTACTGCTGTAAAGTTAACACACATTTCGAAACGTTTGACTTTTAGTGACAAACCATTTGAGGAAACATAGAAACTAATAATTAAAATATAGAATCAGTCAAGTAGTTCTGCCATATTTCTATTTTGATAGAAACGTAATACGTAACTATTCTCTTCCTGTTAAATCACAGGAAAATAAATCAGCTTACGTTTTTCACTGATAATGAAATAGAGTATTTAAGTCCGTGTTTCATGTGCTAAGATTACATGTGTGAACACACAAAGATTTATCTAAATAACAGTCTTAGAATCCTTCGTAGCTCAATAGGTATTTAAATCATTTTACGCAGTTAATTCCCCTGATAAACTTTGCAAAGCAAGAACGTCAAGCACTTCGGGATGCAGTGAATTCACTTCACTTTGTGAGCTCTCATTCTTCCACGTTCGCACTGATTTGTAAATAAATAAAATATTTTACAATGTAATTTTTTGTGTGGTAAAGTCATTTAATTCCGAAGTGAGTAACAATTATAAATGCCTTCCACATTCATATAAGTTCGATTTATTAGTTAAATGGATTAAACGACAGATTATACAGTAGTCGAGTAAAAGAAACATGTGAGAATTATTATTTTTCTGATGGACAGATTGATGAAAGTGATAGTCATTATCGAAGTAATAATGATAATAAACCTAATAATGAATGCAGTAGTTGAAGAGGGTATGAAAAGAAACGGATAACTGAAGAGATAAAACGACAAAGATTGTATTGAATAATGTCCGAATGATAAGACTTTATATGTAATGACTATAACTTTGGAATGAAAACATGATATTGTTATTGTGAATAAATAGAGGTGAGGTCAAACAAACTAAACACATCTCAAGTACTTTAATAATGAGGAAAAACAGTGAAGGGTAGGTTTTCAGCAAAACAATTACCATATCAGTCCCAGATAAACAACAAGTTACTTTAGTACGTAGAAATTGGGGTCGAGATGATGAATGGAGGATGCTTCTGTTTATCATAGAGTCCTGATATTATTCTGTCTATTTATCACCCGGAAGGCGGGAACAGTAGGAATATGTAAAGTATTTATAATTACTTTTACACTAGTGAACTAAATGATTTCACACATCGTACACACCTAATTACATTGCAAAATATTTTATTTATTTATACAAAACAGTGCGTATGTGAAAAAATTAGAGTACACGAAATGAAATGCATTTAAATAAAATCAATTCTAGCCATCTATTAGTCAAATTAAACAATAAGTAGGAGAATGCGCTAGACTAAAGGAAAGTTTTAAGTTTGCGCAAGCCATTTCCACTACATCAGAATTAACATAACAAAGGTTTAAACATTATAAATCTGCTCACTTCTTGATCATCTCCAATTGTCCACACACCGTCCAATTTCTTCGAAGTCTGTGTCTCATTGTCTAAATTTCCAACCAATTCTTCATCAGATAACTCAGCATCTTCATTTGCACTTTTCTCACTTATTCCCTAAATGACAGTGAAAAAGGTCTTATTAACACAACATGAATGCTTCAACCAGAACAGTGTAAGTGAAATGTAAGCTGCAACACCATTGATAAAATTAATTCAAGACCTGAAAAGTACTCTGTAAACTTAATTAGTAAGTGAAGTTCAGGAATCCAATCCATTGTAGAAAGCTACAGTTATGGTTCATTATTGCCTAAATGTTTTTATGATCTGTAAATTACCATAAGGCTACGAGAAGAAACATTGGTGTAAATGAACATAATTTGCTCTCTAATTTTGTTGACTAAAAGATCTGTGATATCATTTTGACAGCTAATGAAAATTTTATATATAAACATATTGGTCTAATTTTAGACCAGAGGTATTGGGTTTGAGTCGTGAGTGCGGGATCATGGATGTTCACTGTTGAGAAGTCCTTAACTAGGACGAGATGGCGCTCCAGTGCTTCCAGGTTTTCAATGGTGGTCCAGTTTAGATCAGATCAAGAATTCAGCTATTAAAATTCCCAAAATGTCTTTTGTAAAGAAATCAACCAGTTAAAAATATGTGAAGCAACAACAACTCATCACTCATTTTCTTGAGAATACATTTAAGACAATAACTTATAAGTTTATAATGGAATATAAAACAGTCATTTAGGAGGCTGCATAATAAACCGATATTAAAAATATCAAAAGTTTATGTAAATTAATATTCTAAAGGTCAAAATACCTGATTACTAAGCATTGCTGCATAAAGACCGTTTTGAGCCACAAGTTCTTCGTGTGTTCCAGACTCTCGAACTACTCCCTTGTCAAGAACGATTATTAAATCTGCGTTACGAACTGTTGTAAGACGATGGGCAACAACCACAACTGTTCTCCCCTTACTCGCTTTGTCCAATGCCACTTGAACTACACGTTCTGATTTTGTGTCAAGAGCTGACGTCGCTTCGTCCAGTAGGAGTAACTTTGGTTTTCTAATCAAAGCTCGGGCAATCGCTATACGTTGCTTCTGACCACCTGACATTCCGCCACCTCGTTCACCAACAAAAGTGTCGTATGTCTGGATTCACAATATAATATAACATTTCGACTTTTAGTTAAATAGAAAACGTTGTTTATAACAAACAACTTTACTTTCAACAATGGGTAGATGACTTACATCCGGAAGTTGTTGAATAAAATCGTGAGCATTAGCAAGCTTCGCAGCTTCTTCTATCTCATCTTGAGTTGCATCAAGTTTTCCTAACCTTATGTTATCACTGATAGTTCCTTCGAAAAGTATCGGTTCTTGTTGTACACAACCTATCTGATTACGATAAGCTTTCAGGTCCAAATTCTTGATATTCTCGTTTTCAATTAGTACCTTAAATGGCAAATATGAAATTAAATTATGAAAACTATAGAAGTATGAAAGTGTATATTAGCATTTGAAAGTTGAACAAAGTGAACAAATGACAAGACTACCAGTTAGCTCTTAACCATTGATGGAAACTTACATAAAATTTTTACTGAATTAGCCTTCAGTTACATTTGAGATTATGAATAGTTATCACTTAAAATTCATCTGATTCTTATCGCTACAACTTATCGTCCCGTTGCATCAACAACACTAAACAACACAGAGATTTAAGAGGTCATTTGGGTTATTCTAGCATAGATATAACTCAGCCATACTTTCTGTAAGAATTCAAACACGTCCACTGACACAAGGTTGATCTGTACAGAACACCTCGGGAAAAACATACCTCGCCGCTCACAGGATCATAAAATCTTTGCAGCATGTGAATAATGGTGCTTTTTCCTGAACCACTGGGTCCAACCAAAGCTATAGTTTGTCCACTTTTGATCGTCAGACTAAAATCCTGTAAAATCTACAAAGTAGAAAAAAAGGTATCAATATAGGAAATATAGTAGTAAATCAAATGTTCAACTTTATTTTAAACACATAACGTTACGAGATTAATGTTTCTCTCTCTACAATTCTATATGGGTTCGTCACTAACCAGAATGGAATCTATCAATAATACAAAAATCCGAAATTTCTCTGTGAACGATAGCATCTACAAATAGATCTCCGTGGAAATTTAACTGCATAACAATTTAGCGGACAAATCAGACGATCAGATGATGTACACACTTAATTTAATTGTGATTTAGGTGAAAATCTTATAGAGTAGCCCATTAGTGAATTTATGTTTGAATTTATTTCCTGAGACTAAAAACTGTCATAGCATGCGGAAAATTACATTTTTAACGGCTTTCTCGTTTTGCGAGAATTTACTTCACAATGATTCTGTGAACTATGGAAATGATGGATAATGGGAAGAATTCTGATTTACTTACAGTAATATCTGGTCTGCTTGGATATACGAAAGAAACATTTTTGAACTCAACATTTCCAGAAAAGTTTGGAATGAGATTTCCATGTCGATCTTTATCAATTTGAGGGATCTAAAATAAGAACAATAGCTATAAAGTAGTTATTGGTTTTATAACAAGTAACAATAAATTCAATCCGAAGTTCAGTTGTTTGATTTCCAGCAGTAAATTATGTAATAAACGCTTCAAGTCAAATCTCAAATTTTAATTCATACATGAGGTAGTAGTAGCAATATATGAGTAATGAGTTGACTTGCTGTTTCAACAAGGTTCAGAGAAAAATCTATCCTCCTTTCCACATTTCATGACACAATTTTTTAGAACCAGAGTTTCATAAAGCCTGTTCAGGAAGATAGACTTTATTACTAGTTAGTTATACACAGTCAGTGGAATTTAAACATTTGCAACAAGTTTTTCATTCTAACATATTTACAATATTCAAGTTATGACTGTGTGATTATTTACTGCTCCTCAATAAGTTGTGATTTCTTCGGAAAAACTGATAAAATTCCCTACAAATCGATTAAAAAATTTGAACTGTTCGAAACTACTAACTCCATTTCAGTCAGAATCCTGAAAATAAATTTACTGTAGTATCACCGAAATTTTTACATATTGTACGTTGAGTCAAAAAAAGAAACAAAATTTCCCCAAAAAATTGGGTGGATTTTTGACAGAATTTGTCGATCCAAATTCATTGTCTTTAACAGCATATTAAAACCTAGCACATGTGTACATTGGTTCAAGTTGCTGCATCCCATTGGTATAGTGAGTTGGAATTGTCAGGGTAAATCCCTGAATAGTAGAAATAGTAACAGTATTAGTAGTAATAGAAAAGATTAGATGTTCAAAGTACGATTCAAGAAAACATAAATTAGTGAAATAAGACTATGAGGAATTTAGGGACTAAAAATCAAGAGGAAGATCAGGGTTAAATAAACCTGCACTTCTGGAAGCAATTTTGAGCCATGTCACCCAAGGTCTCTAATCATTGGTCTCGATAATTATGCGGACCCCAAGCAGATAGCCTACACCTACCTACATACTTCAGTCCTATCCCCAATGACAATACAGACTGATGTCACGTCTTTGTTTAGCTGCTCCTAGTTTTCTTCTAACTTACTCCTACATCACACATCACTGGTCGAGGTAGGAGGTGAATAGGCATACGTAACCCATGTCTCAACCACCTCAGTTGAGATCGATTTACTATCTTATCAGTCTTAGGTTTGCTTTTCACGAGCTCCAGTTGAAGTTCTGAGTATTATTGAAGCTAATATTTTAGACAGCATACTAATCAAACTGATTCCTCTTAAATTGTCACAAGATGATCGTTTTATTTCATCGTAAATGAGGACGATTAGCGATCGAGACCACCCAGATGAGATCGCATCCAGTTTTCAAATTCTATCTACGATCTAGGTTGATGTAACTGCTAAAACTGGACCGCCATCCTTACAGATTCGCGGAATGAGTCCATCTAGATCTCTTTCTCTCCCTTCCCTTAGATTCCGTTCATTCTTGTCAACTTCACTAAAAGTTAGATGATTTATGTCAATTTGCCATTCAGGTTGTTTGAATATAGTAGGTAACTGATATGTGGCGGGAGGTCAGTTGAACTTTCCCCTTAATTGCTCTGCTCATCGATACAGTCTCGCGGACTGACGAGGAATTATAGTCCTATCTTTTTTGAAAAAAATCACACTGACAGCAGGATTCCTAAAACTTGTTTTCTTGATAGGTCTAAACAGTTTTCTACTGTTACCTTCAGCCCCTAATATTTCACTCACTTTTGTTTTCGCTGCTCATCACTGTTCAAAATCGCTGCATAGGCTTTTTTATTAACTTGTGTTTAAGCTAATTCCACTTCTCATCGTGTTTTGAACTACATGGAATGAATTTAGGGACATCTATCAGTTCAGTACACGCTGCTGAAATCCACTGATTTCTCATCACCTTTTGGTTTAAGTTACTGACAGATGTCACTGCTGTTTCCATAGCTGTTTGGATGGCATTTCAAGCTACTTTGGGGTGGATATCAATCAGATGATTGAATATATGCAGGTTCAACGAAGAGGCGACGGTGTGTACGGTATGCACGGGACTATCTACTAAAATACAGTCCAGAAGAGTCTCTTCCGCCCTTGAGTTTAGTGTTATATCAACACTAGTGGGGTCGCTGGAAGTGGCAGGAGGGTCCTAGATACACAGAGTGTAAGTCGCGCTGGTTCTTTATATTGACAAAGTGAGATCAAATGAATGACCATACTTGGATCGAGAAAGCGAAATCTTAGAGTCCTTTCAAGATAAGGGAGCTTGTCGACCTATATGACACAAGGTTCAAAATTGAGAACGGAAACATGTAGTTTAGTGCGTGGTTTTAAGAAACCAGGAATAACATTTGATGAACTGAAATCACTAGCATTATTGACGCTTAGCGATAAAAATATACGGGGGTGGGGCTAGTTGCGAAGATTTGAGAATTATTAGAAAATGAGGAAGCAATTTAATCGTGAACAAGATCCTCTCGAGTGATGTCAGTGGTAATGAGAGCAAGTGTCAAATTCAACTGCCCACTCCATGAAAAGTATTCCCTCCTCAGGGACCTGAAACGAAAATAGGGTTAGCAGTGGTCTTAGTTGTCTGGGAACGTGAACCCAGAGTCCAAGAGACAACTGATTGAGGTTGATCACGCATGGTCTTTTATTGGAAAGTTTTCAATGTACTTGCTCCGTACATTGAAGGCCCTTTCCATCGGAGACAGGAACCCGTGGAGATAGGTGAGGTGAGAAATTTTTAGGGTCGAACTTCCCTAACCTTTTCCTCTTTTTGTGAGAAGAAAGAATGGCTACAGGTGCTGGTTGTCTGAGGGAAATACCTTACCGCACTCACACCCTTCTACAGTCAGCAGTACAACTTCGTTCTCGGTCTTTAATTTGAAACTTTTAGTTTCTATTGTTCTTCAGCTAACCTTCCTGGCAAGAGAGGATGTGCTCCAGCCAGTATATCCCGGTCGAGTAATCACGATAGTCAAGCCCAATTATTACGTCACGGTAACAGCTATAGTCAGGATAGTAAAAATTACAATCTTGATTCATAAAGGTTAGGGGACATAACTGATTAATGTGCACTCTAGATTTTTTCTAGCAAATGTTCAACATGATGATCTTTATCTCAGAACCTATTTTTTAGTTATTAATTTAGCCTTGAAATTTTGAGTGGTTTGATCATAACAGCTTTGTAAGAAAGGTTGTAAAACAAACTCACACGCTCAATAGTACCATAAATTTCAGAGGCTGATGCCTGTGCGTTCATGAAATATTGAAAACTTGGTAGAGCGTTGCCCAGAAAAATACTTCCCAAGAGAACATTTATGAATACCTGGAAAAGCAAAATAATTAAAAAGTGACAACTCATAATGATCTTCTTTGAAATCACTATTTCATCAGTAATGAAAATGTACATACAATAAACATTCGAAACGTCATTTTAAATATGTATTTTTATTTCATTCATAAATTGTTTCCAAAAGCGATCCATGCTATTGTTAGAATATTCTTCTTCTAATCTAAATTAGATCAAGTAATAATATCATTTGTATAGAAATATGGTTAGCTGTTTCAATGAGGTACTTCCATTTTAAACACTCATTGTTTACTTTTGACCAATTCGAGTCATTGAATTTAGATTTATCATACTATTCAGATAAATCTAACGGATAATAAAATATATTATGGTGAAGATAGTTGTCCACTTGATACCTATTACGAACAGAATAATTACAAGTTAAGATAATGGCTACTTACTGGTTATGAAAGATAATTGGGAACAATGGGGAAATGATAGACAGAAAGGAAGTTTAAGAGCATCATATTTGAGCCTAAAAAAGCATGCTGGTATAGGTGGAAAAGTCTGTAATAAATTTTATTAAAGCTAGGAAAATGAGCATAATAGAAGAACATAAATATATTTTAATCAGAGAGAGAGGGATTTTGTGGATATCAAAGTAATTTAATAGTTGAATTCATAAGTCAACTGAAGCCAGATCGCCATGGAAAACCTGGACGGTGGCGCAACTTCGTGGATTGTTTGAAGTTAGATATTAACACCGTTGGATGCCAGCTCAGTGGTCTAGTGGTTAAGCGATCGCACGGGAGACTGATAGGTCCTGGGTTCGAATTTCGCAAGGCGGGATCGTGGATGCACACTGCTGAGGCGTCTTACACTAGGATAAAACGGCCGTCCAGTGCGTTCAAGTTTTCCATGGTGTTCTAGCTTCAATTGACTCATGAATTCAACTATTAAAATAAATATATTTATTCAGTAAATTCTCTTCAGCTGCTTATGAATTGAAAACAATAGCATTAGTCATTCTATAAAAACCGACAAACGATATACATATTTTATAATTGAAAAGTTTTCATCAGATTTATAGATGTAGATTAATCAATGATAATAATTGTGAAAGAAACAGACACTATTCCAACGGTTATTTAGTTACGAGTTAAATATGTAAATTGTTTTGAAAATTAAACTGAAAAGAGCAAACAAGCAGAATTTTTAGAATTGAAAGATCATTGTCACAGTTTATATAGCACCATAAATAAGAAATAGTAGAATCAATCCACTAAATAAAGATCAGATAAGAAACAATACTTGAGGAATTATATTCAATGTTATGAAAAACATTTTTTGTATCAAGCACTTGTAACTGTGGTGATCAAAGAAAAGCAAGATTGATAAGTGGATTTTTTGAATGCATGATTTTGATTTAAATACTTTTATATCAACTACTAAAGCAAAATGAAACAAATTGTATTTTTTTTTAGTTATTGACTATTTTGAAAGCTTTGAGACATCATTCACCGCCAGATAAATAGTGAAAAATCGTGCTAATAAAAACATCCCTTTCTTTTAGTCTCAGTCTTTGTGGTATGTGGTCAAATATGAGGATTTATGAATGGGAAAAACTGTATGAAACATTTACTATTGGGGGAATTTCAATCTGCCTAATAAAATAAAATAATGTAATTTAACTTTTTTATTTGGGAATTTAAGAGCCTTACTTATATTAACGTGTGGCTAACTGCCGTTAACATCTATACCGTTCGTTTACTTATTGTCAAACTGTTTAATTTTTAAAAAATACCTTTTCCAACAATTCCACAAATAACACACACAAAGGTATTTAATGTTTAACAAGAAGTTTCAGTTTTAATTTTAAAAACATTTGACTGCATTTTGGAATTGTAAATGTGTTTCAAATCGGTTTTCATAGTTGGGTCAGGTGGATATCAGTGTGACAATCCATATGTGCATTACTCATATGTTATGTCCTGAGTTACTCACATTATTATTTAACGTGGGAATCAAACAATCAGGATGACGTAGGTTTTAAGTTTAGAAGTTTTACCTTATTATTGTTGAAATGAATTACCTTGGAGAATATAATGATAACCATTGGCTTTGGAAAAATTGTAACATACCAGTATTACAGATCCGGCATTATAGTTTTCGTCAATCATTAATTTAATACCATACCAAAATATCAGTGCAGAAGAACAAAAGATGGTTAATCCTATGGCACCAGTTACTAAAAAAAGAGAAAATCACAAGTTTTAATTATTAGTTTACTGACTGAACTTTAGAGCTTGTGTATACTCATTGCCTAATTCATTAAAATTACGAATTTCTGAGAACGATTGACCAAGATGTGTAAACCTTTTTGTGGTGTCTTTTATTTTGATGCCAATTAGATCGTAAAATGATTGTTATCGAAATATGCGTATTTAAATTTCATCCTCGTGTTTGAATAAATTGTTCATTTCATTACTAACGCGATTTAAATCAATAATAATATACGAGGATTGGCAGCATTTATGTATCGATGACAGTCATTCATATGATCCAACTGGAGTCAGACATCGGGCCACTAAAATCTAGATGATTGTTAAATACTGAGTGTATTCAAATGATTTACCTAGAAGTAAATTTTACGAACAGATGGAACCTATTTAATGATCTGACTTATGCACACCAGATAACTGTGTACTCGGAAAAATACTATGTAACCAACTGGTTTCGGGAAAACAATACAAATATCGAATAAGCTGTCTCTGATTAGCTAGTATCTATAGACCCGACGAAAAATCTTAATTGAATCTTAGATTCGGAATGAAAATTTAGATAACATTTCAAAACAGTGACATCACCTTTTATTTGCACACCTTAAGGACAAACAGATTCATCAGTTAAGGTAACATTTGAGCAATCACATGTGGAGGTTTAGTCTAATAAATATATTAAACTAAACTTCTTGATGAGGTTCGGATTAGCAATGATCATTTTACATGCTACCAATAATTTTTTTAATAAGATCTGTAAAGCAGTCATGAACGTTGCGACAAATTCCATATCTATAGTATTCAAAATGAATTATCTAGACGCAGTAAGTACTTTCTATTCAAGTTATCTGTGACATGTGTAATAGTTCAGTCAGCTAGTCAAGCGTAAAATATTATTTGTCACATTGGTACATCGATCCAAGTTGCTATACCTCATTAACTTAGCGAGTTAAAGTTTTCGGGGTTGATCTCAAAGTAGTAAATGTGGAAATGGTATCAATGATTATATAAAAGGTTAGGTATACAATCTATAGTTTAGAAAATGTATAATTCCGTGAAATAATAGAAAAATGTTGAGGGAGTTAGAAACTTAAGGTTTAAGGTAAGACAAAACGTTCATACGCTTGTGGCATAGCGAATAATCTAAAACAGAGCTACCCAAAGGCTTCAACGATTGATTACGACAATCAAGAGGACCTCAATCATGTGGTCTGCACCTATCTACGTGTCTTAATCCAACTGTCAATGAATTCACTGAGTGACGCCAAGTACTGGTTTTCCGGCTCCGAGCTTTTTTCTAAACTACTCCTAAACTAACCAACTCGTGTGTCGAGGTAGTCTATGGGATGCATCCATATCCGCCAAAGGATAAATGAATTTTTAAGGAAATCACAAAAACTAAAATCATCGAAATAGTCTCCTGAATTTCCACTAGCTATAAATCTTCTTCACAATTTGAAAGTTTAATGAGATTTCAGAAGCAGTTATATTCGTAAGACTAACTTGGGTATCCATGATATTTCTCCTAAAATAAAAATAATTTTTTGACTATTTACGAGAAAGATATATCCATTCACAGAATCTTACCTCCACCAGTTGCCGTCGACTTTTTGAGCCCAACCTTTTCGGCAAATACAAGCTGCTCACTATATCTTGCTAGCTCCTTCTGCTCGCCACCAAATGCCACAACAGTACGAACAGCTTCTAAAACTTCGCCCGCGATAGAACCTGCTCGTGCATATGCAGCTATTTCCTTAACAGTGAAATATTTCATAATGAAACCGAAACATCCAAAAACTGCAGCAATAACAGGTAACATGCAACAAGCTACTAGTGTAAGTTTCCATCCCACTGAAAAACTTATTATGATGCCTACTATGAATCCTGATATGTGTTTTATAAAACCTCCGAGTGTTGTTCCAATACCACGTTCAATGAGCTCGATATTCTGAGAAAGTTTGCTGATTAGTGACCCAGATGACTGTTCATCATACCATGGAATATCTTGTCGTAAAATACTCTAAATGAAAACATGATTTTAAAATAAACTTAACTTCATTAGCTTGTAAATCCAAGTCAATGGTAGAGTATGTTTGAGTTATACTAGGTTTGGGTCAAATGAAATTCAAATTTATTCGCCGATATTTAATCAAGGTGTACGACTAAGCAGATGGTCATATAGTATTTCTAAGTGTTCTATGTTCTGTTGGTTACATACATTTGAAACGAACACATTAAGCCGAATCCCACTGACCATTTTAAGGTAAACTCCGTTTTAGGTCTTGAATCTAGGCAAACTGAGATCTGCGCCCAATATTTCAGCTCAAAGAGATCGGGAAGTTCTTTTGCAAACTGAATACCTATATTCGGTGGGATGACTCCTCAGTCAGACCAATAAAAACAAAATACGTCTGAATTCGATCTGTAAACTTTGAAAAATGAACTCAGTGAATTTCAACTCGAAAAATCTTCCTGTAATGTACTCATAACACTGTATAGTAGATTGTGCAGTTCCCAATTTTGTATTTAATGCAAATACCCCTGCTTGTGTCATATAAGCTCAGCAGTGGAGACCGTTTTCAAAATATTCAGAGACTTCCATTTATAACTTATTAACAACAAGTAGTCACTTATAGGGATTTCAATTATATGATTTTATATAAGCAAATCTGTCAAAACACATGAAATTGGACAAGATCCTTTGAATTAAAGAGATTTCTTGCACGAGAGAGCTTTGAGATATTTAGTATACGGAATGTTTTATAAACTGCCAAATTATGGTATTTTGAAATGGTATGTTTTTGTAAAACGGTACACTGTGTTGTAATCTTAAAGAATTTCGTCATACACGCAGTTCAGTTTAACTTTAATGAATCTGTTGAAAATATCAATTGCCTTTTATATATTTCAATCGCTACTCTAATGATTTCAGTGAGACAGTTTATGACCATATACTTGTTCAACTCTTGAAAAATTGACGAAGTCACAATGCCAAATTTTTGTGACCTAAGGGTTATCTGTCATTAAACTTGATACATTTTTCGTAACATACAGGTTAAACAGCAGCATTTGAGCATTATGTGATCACATTCGTCATTGTTACCTATATCTGTAACTTATCAATGCTTCTATCATATATTGCAGTCGTACATGGAGTAAAATTACTTTGTGCATAAACCGTGATACTGTGTGCTGGTGTGTAAAGCTTATTTACTTTACAATAACTAGTATAATTTTTCAATAAGATGACAAATTCATTTTAGCACTTAAACGACACAGATATGGATTTGCAGACAGGCAGCCTAATAAGTACCTCGCAACGTAAACAATTAACTGCCTGTCAAAGAATGACTCGTTGGAGAGCGTTGCGCTACACAAAGTGATCTTATATTGCGACCCAAAACCTGTTATTTGGTAGTGTGTGGATCCAGAAACCTCATTTGTTCAAATGGTTGCTTTGCATTAGCTTGTATGAATGTTACTTTTCCAAAACAATACTTTGACAAACAAAATTGCTAGGATATTTTGATGGGCATATTAGACGTAAACTAAGGTGTTAATAGAGTGATTCAAGAGATGCGTTTATAATCAATTACATTCTATGGAATTTTAACCATTATTATGAAATTTATAGTGTAAACAAACAAATATTTACCGAAAAAACAGGTAACAACTTACTTGTATCTGTATTTTAGTAGTCTTTCGTTTACTACAACAAACTGTAGTTCGGTATTTATGCTTATCTCTTTTTCATTGACATCGCATGTTTAATGTCAATGAAAACATAGACAAAATGATTTTAATAGCTAAAAGCCCTTCAGAAGTTTAAAATTGTGGCTTCTATAAAACTCAATTCAAAAACTTAGTTTTTTGACACAAATAAAGAATTGTTATTACAATTACCCATAATGTGCATCGTTTCTTTTACCGAATTCACTTAAAATTTGCATTTCATAGAACACTGCACTATCAGTAAGTTAGAATGCAGTCTAGCTCACCGCTCTGTATAATACAACATGTTTAACCTCACAAACAAAATAGGCATGTATTTTCGTTATCACCTAAAAAACCGTGTACGAATGCTTCTATGAATCATACGAAACAGCACATAAATAAAAGGTTAACCTGCGTCACGGTAAGAAAAGACTTTCAACAGTGTGATAACCAAGAATGTTTTCGAAATAGAGTACTTTGAGACCATTAGTGGTGGTCAACAAAAATCAAGCTCAAACTGCGTGAAATTCACTGGAGCTGTAGGTATCAACCAACTGAAGTTCATTAAATTTCTTCTAGAGAATCTACCAACCTTATTCGCCTCTGTATCAAAATTTTTCGCCTTTTGGCCTGTTTGTCTAAACCACTTGACATTACGATCCATCTTCTATTCATACAGTAATTTGATTTTATTATATACACTTAGCTCAATGCATCACTTCTTTTCAGTAACGCCAAATTTGCGGCCAATAGTAAAATATCTAGGCCCCCAAGTAAAATTATAACTCTCTTAGCCACTCCCTGAAACTCTTCTCCTACATATGACGTCTGATTACAACATGCAATGAAATCCCCTTAAAATCATAATATAATTTACTATTACCATTCTGCCATACATGTCAGCTATCTCTGTCCTAAAAATGCAGCAAATTTCTTTTTTTCCTAGTCCTAACAATTAAACCTAAAAGACTATGACTGATTGACATCAAAAACTGTACATTTTCATCAATGTGTAAATTTGTTTGAAAACCAAAGATTAGAGAAGTGATACCATATAAATTAACTAAATAGAAGGTAAAGTGACATACTTTGAAATACAGCAGACGGATCCGGTTAATCTGCCTGCTTGCTGAAATATTCATGCAAAAGTCCTGGATAAATGAAACGAGAAACATTGCAGCTCCCAAAACAGCAAACCATTTCACTGAGCCGTATACGTTTTCCGCAATAACAACATTCCCCACTGTAAATTCGTTTACTACCCCTTTGAAGATAAATATGTTAAGTGGGAATGCGGCACCAACTGCAACAGCACAAATACATCCCACTACTAGTGCACATATATCTGTCTTACTAGCATATCGGAACTAAATAGTGAAATAAGATATTTACGGTTTAAAAGTCATTACCAGACCAAAGAAAGAAACTTTCGGGTACACACTGTGCTCACTTTAGTTTATAGGAAGGAAGTTCTAGCAAACTTACTTTTTACTAATACGCTTCGTTTTCCCCCGACATTTCATGATACTAAATAAATGTTACCTTTGAATACATTCTACATTGTGGTCCACTTAAACAAAACACACCCAATGCCTATGTTGCAACAGAAATGTCGATAAACAATGAGACATTAGTCTTTTTCTCTTTGTACTGTCTTAATGCAATATTTCAATGTCTCTTGATATTCACTGCTACGTTTCAGTTGACTTTCCTAATAAGTCGCATATATCTTTTAATGGCACCCAAGCAAACCTTGCAGTTATGAAAGTTGATAGATGTTTGTGGTATGTGTCCAGATCAACGTTAAGATGCAGTTGATGTCCACTTACATTCCATATTCAACACACCATGTTGAAACTGCTGTATGTAACCATCAACGGTAAACGTCGAACTAAAATTACTTAAAGTGAAGCTCATCATTGCTGAGTCTGGGATACTCAAGCATTCAATTACTCTAACAGCTCCCCCTCTACATATCACCTCTATAAAAATAAAACTGTAGTTTGAACCCATCTACGGTCGCGGCATATATAACGCTAAATTCCCACAGGACTGTTAATTCTTACTTCACATTCATAATGTCACTGTTACCTTGAAATCTATGAACATATTTCCGTAGGCAAACCTCGTAACATCCTATAACCAAATCACACATATTTCATGTTATCGTTTCTTTCTTGGAATTGATATTTCTCAGCTCTGTGTTAAATATTTGCTGTTTGAGGACAATTCATACAATCTATATGGTCAGTTGGAATCGCATTTTGTAATTTTACAGTACATCATTGTTACACACTGAATACTTTTGTTGTCTCCTAATCACTAGTTGT